CTGGAAACGCTTTTCAGAAGCAAAACAAAGCTCTCACAGCTGACCCTCGGAGAAGGCTGCATCTGCTTTTCTTATTGCTATCACCAATAAGCGACAAGCACCGACTTAAGGGAGGAAGCGCTTATTTGACTCACGGTTCGAGGGGGTATAGCCCATCCTGGAGGGGAAGGCATCATGGAGGCAGCAGAGGCAGCCGATCACATTGTGTTAGCAGTCAGGGAGCAGAGAGGGTACAGGAAGTAAGGATGGGGTATTAAACCTCAAGACCAACTTCCGGGGATCCGCTTCCTTCAGCAAAGCTTCTTTTCAACTTTGCAAAAGCACACCATAAGCTGGGCACCTAAGTGTTCAAATACACAAGCCTATGTGTTCCAACCACATTTCAACCATAATGCTAGGGGATGAATTCAGTGTTCTAAAAACTAGTAAATAGAGGGAACTAGTCAAGCAGCCATCTTGCCTGACTCATAGAAGCTGTAATCAGTACAATCACATAGCAGATGAAGGGAAGTTTTTATTTATAGATTTCCTACTAATACAGAAGGAATACTATAATTAGAGTGTCATCCTTTTGAACCACTAATGAAATAATGGATTTTGGCAATGATCATCAATGGCTGCTAAAGTCATTAGGTGAAAGGGGACTGTATAATGAGTGATCAGACACAATCCACTGATCATATAAAAGGGAGACACACTTCATCTCCCACCATGTTTCAGAGGAAGCATTTACATGTTTCACATGGCAGCATTTATTAACTTGGCTCCCATCATGACTGTAAATACTTGATCAGATACAATCAGGTGTTAGGAATATAGAAGATCTAGGAGCATGTGAAGTGACCCATGGGAATATAATGAATTAATCCAGAATGTGAGAAGTTGGTGGCTCAAATGACCCAAGGAGAATATGAGAGCAAAGGCAACAATAGGTTGAGACACGAAGAAACATTGCTAAATTAATCAGACTTTAAAAGAGTGCTTTCTTTTGCACACACGCATGCACAGGCATGCAAACAAACAAACAAACAATAAAAACACTGAGTGGCATTTGATGCTAAGGAATTGATGGTATTTTGGTAATTCTTCAACATATTAGAAAAGAGCCATCGTCTCATTTCTGTTATTCAAACAAATGTAGCTTCCAGTCTGCCTCTCCCTTTGAGTCTAATTCAGTGCTTCTCAGAGTTTATCTGTAAAAGACAACATAGAAAATATCATAGGTTTTAATAAGTAGCAACTCTATCACAGTGTTAAGGTGGTTTATTTTGCAGCTATTCAACTCTTGGTCCCTGCAGAATGAAAGCATCTCTAGACTATATGGAAAGAGGAACTCCAGTGGTGCAACCCATCAGCGTGTGGTACTTACATGATGATATCGCAATGTGTGGGCATCATGAGTGTCATATGTCTTTACTCACAACTGTGTAATCCACTGGATTTGTGGAAAATCCCAGGTTTCTGCGTTTTAACAAGTATGGCAGACACTCCTGAGAGGTGATTGTAGATATGAGTCCTATTTTTTTTAGTAAGAAGGCTGAAGCTCAGTCAAGATTAATTATTTGCCCAAGGATCTGTAGGTAGAAGAAAACAGAGCTCTGTTTACCAAGGAAAACTGTAACTACCAGTTCTTTTTGCTTTGGGCCACACTCACAGGTAGAACACATTGGGAAAGCATTGGAGGACAGAGCAGAAGCTTTGTGGTACACAGGACAGTGAACTCATTCATACCCTTTAGAGCAAAGGAGAGACCAGACAGGAGGAGGAGGGAAAGAGAAAGGGGGCAATGGGATACAGTTGACATTCCCATGTGGATCTGGAACCTTGAGTTGTCAGCTTTAGAAAATAAAAACACAAGATACCTTGTTAGAGTGGAGCTTCAGACAAAACCCACATTCTTAGTTATGCATGTGTCCTGTGTAGTATTCATGGCTATAACTTAGTTGTTTTAAATTTAAATTTATCTGGGTACCTTGCACCTTTATCCACAGCCTTACTGATATGGGAGTGACATCATGAGAGCCTTTAGCACTGTTTTAATGGGTAATGGGTCAAGTGCATTCCACTGCAAAGGAACAGAGTTACCAGGAAGCTGCTTGGACAGAAGGTCCAGAGGAGATTTCCTTGCTTTGTGTAGGTTTGGGAACAGTTGATGACTTTCCTTATAGCTCCTTAGCTGACGAATTGACTTCAGAATGGATATCTGAAGCTTAAGTTCCTCCCCTACCTGGTATCTTTACTAGGAGTCTATTCCTTCAAAATATTAATGGTTTCTGGGTTTAAAGAGAATTTTATGTAGATAGTGTGACTCATACTGTCTCATGTTGATCCTCATATGTCTAGAATGATGGTTTTCATGGGAAACAGACTTAATAATTAAAGAAGTTTCATATTCTTAAGTCAACCTACATGGTGGTCTAAGAAGCAAAGAATCCCAATGAATCCTGCACAGACTGAGGGACAGAAACAAAAGAACAGGTCTTAGGAACCCATGACCACCTAATTTCTATAGACTGACATCTACACCCAATGAGCAAAGCCTCTCCTAAGCAATTCTTCCTTCTGTGTTTCTTAATTCCTAACTTTGTGGATTATGAGGGTGTGTAAGAGAGGACAGAGGAAAGGAGTGATGGGGCAGTGAAAGGCATCCTAGAGCAGACAGGGGCTTCTTCTCTAGCAATTCATTCCAACTTTTGTTTTCCTACATTTTTTTCTAGAATCATTCTTCAGCATCTTTCCTGGACCTTATTAGTTTATGTTATCCTTTTTCAGGGTTAGCTTCAAGATCCTTAAGATATCCCATAGAAAGATCTGATCACAAGCTGATGTTACTCATGCAAAGCTTGAGCAAGTCATCCTATTTTCATCTGAGAAGTGGGCACAATAGAGGCAGCTGCTGCACAGGAATAGAGAAAGGATGAAATAAGAGAATATATGACATCATTATTCATTAATTAGTTTTGTTCTTATCCTTGAGACTATGGCTTCCTGATAGCTTATGTCTGGGTAAATTTTAGGGTGGAGATATTTGTCAATGAGTGTTTTATCGTTATGAATTATTAGACCACTACTTTTCACAGACTGAGTCTTCTGGTTATGCTGGAAGGAAATCAATATGGGTTCTTATGGGCAATAAAGGAAGTTACATTTACTATATTGTCCAGGAATATGTGAAGATGTATACAGTGAGCAATTATTGTATCGTGTGTACATCTCCACACTTAGTGATAACCTAGTAGGTTTTTGTATCCATGATTCTGAGGCAGCCTTGTTGTTTAATTCATATTTTGAAATTGAAGACACTTAAAGGCTAAGTACTCATCAAAAATCATAACAAAATTTAGGGTTTCTTGACTTCCAATTTTTGCTGGTTTTGCCATGTTATCGACCTTACTCCTGGAGGAATGTAGTATAAATGTCACCTACATTGGTGCTGCTACTCCATGAAAGTCTTCTAAAGGGAGCCCCTGTGACTAGCTAATGTTCTTCTGACAGTTGTCTGCTCAAACGCTTAGGCTCATCACAGTTTGCACCCAGCACTCTTGAATTTCTTCTTTTCTGAACACAGAGATTTCAATTTAAAACTTTCTCTGTATTGTATATATATAAAAAACCCACCAACTGAGACGCATACTAGCATCAAATGGAGGGTTCCATTATTTAAAATTATATACCCAGAGTGATGTATTGGTACATCACTGATTTCTGCTTGTTTTCAGTCAAGAGACCAGATGAGACAAACCATTCTAGCATATTCTATCACAAACATACTTATTTTATAAAACTGATATTTTTATGTGTACTTATGTCTGCTGTTTTCTGTCTGTCTAGTCAAATGTTTGTGTTTGATTTTATCTTGGAATTTTAAAATGTGGTACCCGATCATTGTAAAAATTCACACACTATAGAAATACATATACTAAAATCTGGAACTTCCTTACTTCTGTCTCTATAGAAAACTATTGGTTTAGTAGCTTTCTGGACCCTTGCATATCATTCACTAAATTATACACTATTGCTATATATTTGCTTATGTTTATGTATTTCCAGTTTTACATGAGTGATAATGACAAACTATTTATGAACGAGCTGTATTTTACTACATTTATTGTCCTGCAGATACTTAACGTATCAGTATATGCAGCATTTTTACATTCTATTACAGTCACCGTATATACCTTTAAAAATGAACATATTCTGCCTCCTTTAGAAACTACAAAAAAGGGCCTTGAACCAAATAATTTTACCTACACACAAGACAATAGTCTTGTACTACTTCTGAAGTGAAGTCGATGGATTCCAGGGCTCTTGCAATGTCAGCGCGGACAGATAAAGCAAAGACTGTGCCCTCAGAAGCAGATTCCAGTTCCACCATTGGCATCAGAGGATCAGGTCTCACACCTCCAGCATCAGATAGCAACCTTTCTTTCCCCTTTTTATCAAATGTCATTAAAATACATGTCTCTGCTCTTTGACTTGGCATCTCTTCATTCATTTGTGGCCATTTGTAGCTATTTTGTGGCTCGTCTGCTCTTGGTCTTGACTCATCTGTCTGTCTGTTTGCTTATCTAACTAATGTGAAGCAGTACCACAAATCATATGGATTTTAATTCCTTGTCTGTCCCAGCACGGGGGAGGCAGAGGCAGAAGGACTTCTGCCAGCTTGAGGCAAGCCTGGTTTACACAGAGACTTCCAGGCCAGCCTGGGGCTGCTTAGCAAGACTATTCTACAAAATATTATTATTATTATTATTATTATTATTATTATTAATGATTATAATAATTTGTCTTTTACATATGTTGCAGGTATTTCTGTCATTTGTCTTTTAATTATGAATTTTGTCTTTGATATTTAATTTTACAAAATTGTGTCTATAAATTATATCCTTTATGACTTTTTAAGTGTATATCAAGTAGGAAGGTCTTCTGCTCCTGAGGTTATACAAATACCTTTGTAAGTTTTCTTCTAATATTCTTATTGTTTTGTTTTTTATGTTTAGCTCTTTAATCCATCTGGAAATGATTTTTGTATATGGTGTGAGGTAGGTATCTAAGTGTATTTTTTAAATGAACAGTTCATTGTCCCCACACTTTAATTACTAACCCATCATTTCATATATTAAACTCTAGCATTTATACATGGTTTTGTTTCCAGGCTTTCTATTTTGTTACACTAATATATTGTCTATCCCTATGCTAAACACAAGGTGTTCATTACGTAGTACAATAAAATGTCTTACTATCTGATAAAACAAATACCCATCATCGTTCTAGTTCAACAAGTCTTTAATTAAGCAATCACTACTCTAGATAAAGTTTGAATTCATTTTGTCAGTTTCCATAATCCATTCCATAGGAGGTTTTAAATTTTATATTGCACTCAAATTTTACATTGTATTTTAAGAATGAATGAGAGACTTATTCCACCAAACCTTTTTATTAGAGAAAATGATAAAAACTTTGCATTTATGTTGGTCCTCTTTCGTGTTCTTTTACCTGAACAGACCTATACATCTTAAGCCAAGTTATGTCTCAGATTTTTAAGTGCTTTGTTGGTATTATGCAATTTTATTTTTAATTCTTTTCTGAGTTACTATGGTATTGTTAGTATAGTTTGGCTATTGTGTTTCTATATGGGTATCTTACTGAGTTATAAAAGTTTCAATTTCTTTTTAGTTAATTGTTTTGTATAACATGCTGTTCCCAGACAACAGACAATTTTGATTCTTCTCTTTCAACATTTTATTATATATTTACTTTTTAAAATAGGTATTTTATTAATTCTTTGAGAACTCTTCCTACCATGTGTTATGGTCATATTTGTGCCCTGTAACTCCTCCCACACTTATCCCACCTCTCTAATTCTCAAACTTTGTGTCTTCCTTTTTTAATTTTAATAACTTGTAGATTGACTTTGTTCTGGTAGTGTGTCCATCCACCAAATCTCCATGACACCTCAGTCAGGAGTCGGGACTCATGAACTTCTCCCCCTTTCCTGCTAGAATGCTGAAGCTTGGTCTTGTGCAGGCAAGCACAGCAGTTGGGAGATCATGAGTCCATCGTTCCTGTAATGGCCAGAAGACACGGTTTTGCTGTGGCCATCCATGACCTCTGGCTCTTACAATCTTTTCTCCCCCTCTTCTTAGTGGTCCCTGAGTCTTGAGGAAGGGCTGTGATACAGATGTCCCATTCATGGCTGAGCTCTCGAAGGCACTTATTCTCTACAGGTTGACCAGTTACTAGTTTCTGTGTTAAGTACCAGTCGCTGCATAAGGAGACGTCTTTGATGAGGTCTGAGAGCAGCACTAATTTCGGCATAGAGAGATACGTATTTAGAGGCCATTTTGGTATTATATCCATTTAACAAAATAATTACTTTGTTTCATTGCCTAGGATTTCCTGGACAGTTTAACAGAATCAAGGAAATGATGTCCCTTCTGTGTTTCTTAGGTTTTCCAGACTTTGTGATATTTAACTTATTAAATAAAAGTTTTCTTCCTTACTCATAGATTAGGAATTTCAATCAGAAAACAGTATTAGAAAATTTTAGTATCTTTTGAAAGAACTTTTTTTTCCTTTCTTTCTTTTTTTTTTTTTTTTTTTTTTTGGTTTTTCGAGACAGGGTTTCTCTGTGTAGCCTTGTGCCTTTCCTGGAACTCACTTGGTAGTCCAGGCTGGCCTCGAACTCACAGAGATCCGCCTGGCTCTGCCTCCCGAGTGCTGGGATTAAAGGCGTGTGCCACCACCGCCCGGCCCTTTCTTTATTTTTTAATTAGGCAAATGGAACAATAGATTTCCTAAGGTTGTTACTATTTTGATAGATTTTGAATATGATACAATAAGTTATTCAGATTTGATAACTATATTTAGAATAGAAATGTCTACATCAGTACATAGAGATAAAATCTCTTTATCTGTATTATATGTTGGAGACTCTCTGTTGTTAGACTAATTCTGCTTTTAGAGAAATTTAAGCCACAGAGAACGGTTTGAGAAAGTATTTATGCTTCTTACATTGAAAAAATACAGGTTAGAAAGCCTTAGTTGACTTCACAATAAGACTGCCTTTTTATTTTCATCCTATGTGTATTTTATTTGCGATAATTTTAATGTTTGTTCTCAAATTTTCTACATTTTTTTCAGATTTTCATTAATATTTTCCAGTAAATCAATCACTGAACTTGTATTTTAGAAATTGATGATTTTTAATTTTAGCATTTTACAGTTTTCTCTTCTATGTTCCTTATTAACCTTGCCAACGATTTTTGTAACTTTGGATGACAAGCAATTCATTATGTAGATCACGCAAGAGTTTTGTCTTTTTCATCTCTGTTTGTTTGGGCATTGTTTGGATTTATACCAAAGCAGTTTTGTTTTTAAATTTTGTCTTTTTTTTTATTCCTAATTACTCTCTTTATATATTTTCTAGGGTTTTATTTCCTTTCTTAGTTTGGCTATATATTAATTATTCTAAAACTACTTAAATTCTACATATTTTTCTAAAGATTACCTCAGTTATATTCCATAGGATTCAATGAATAAGACTTGAGTTCATACTACAAAAATACTTTTAAATATTATTATTTTAATTGCTCCCAATGAGCTTTTTAATAGATTACTCCTTTGTTGTTATTAATAGTTTGCTTTATTTGGTATGGGAAATGTTTCCTGTTCTTACCCTGTACTTATTTTTTCTTTGAAATTTCAGATGTTCTTTGAGGTTTAATATGTAATTGGAGTGTGTAAATTAAAAAAAATTAGCATGTATTAGTTTCCATTGTGGTGGCTTCATCAGTTTTTAAATTTTATATTTTGTTCTTTATATGTGTAAAATCTCTGTATATTTCACATAGTGCTATTGTTGTATTTGAGTACACAAGTTCATGATTATCATAATGGTGTATTTCTTCAACTTTATATAAAACATTCAATTTGGAATAAACATGACAAGGCTTTTTAAATATTAAGTTGCAACATTCAGGGTTTTTCAACGTCACATGAGAAAAAATACAAAAATGTCTAAAAAGAAATTAATAAAGGGAATTTAATTGGCCATACACATCTGCACAGTGACTATGCATGCTAGCTTATATGCATATGTATATGTGCGTAGTATGTGCATATATGGCTGATTATGTTTGATTTTTATTCCATGTACTTTCACTGTTTTATTTTCAATATTTTCTGTAATTTTGTTTTAAATACAGCTTTTCTAAATAATGTGAACCACTGATTTTTTTAACCTAAATTTTTCCTCCCATGTTCGAGGTAGTAATAACACATTCATGCTTACTGTCTACAGAGTTTTAGAGTTCACTTCCGTTTTGTAATGCTTGTTCATTAATGCTGCCCTCCCCCTTTGTGGTATTCTGTGTAAGATGAGAGATTTTGATGTTGTGTTCCTGAAACTGGTTAGGAAGCTGCATGTCATATTTTTTACTCTTCTAGAAGCTGCTTTAAGTTTTCTGCAAGCATATTTAAGTGTAAATTGTTATGATCAATAATCAATTGGTATCTATTAGTGCTTTTCTCCCCTCTCTTAATGATAAAGTCTTTATTGGGCTTTTAATTATTTCCAGATCTACTCTTCTCTCTACTTATGGTTAAGATTATGTGGAAATTTCATTCCCCATAATTAGGTTAGCAGTAGCAGCAGTGGTACTATTAACATTATTGGTAATATTATTTACTTTGCTTCCATTTTATAGGAAGCCCTTCTTCGTTATTGTATTACCTTTAGCCACCAAATTAGCAAGCATTATTTAGATTTAAATTGTACTGTTGTAGTGTATTTGCTCTATTGTTGTGACATTCAAGTCATAGCATATCTTACGTTCCTTTTTTTCTGTTCTTCTAGTGTCATCCTTTGTCAGTTTCTGGTGACTTTGCTTTTACTTTATTTTCTTTGAAAACCTGTGTGTAGTGAAGAGTCCTGGTCTTTGCTTCCCAGGTGGAAACATCTCATGTTGTCTTTACAGCTGACACAAAGTTATGCTGATTTCAGAAGTCTCAGGATATGAGTGATTTTTCTACACATCCTGAAGACTGGTTTCTTCTAGGATGTTTCCAGGAGAAGATACACACTACCCTTTCAGATATTGAGGTTTTCATCTCTTTTGCCATCTGCTTTCCAATGCTCACTGTTGATGTCCATCCAACTGGTCCATCAGGGAAAGATGTTTGTGTTAACAGTTTATTAGGACACATACACAGAACTCCTTTCTTTTCTAACCAACAGCAAGTGCTTTCATAACACGTATTAGCTGAAAGGTCCAACTTCTGATATTCTGCTTAGTAATGATGCAGTTCCTTCCCGAGTTTTGAATCGTGTTGTGAATTTTCTTTCATGTGTGCTAATATCTCTAACCCAGTGGGTAGTGAATATTTATGCGGTTTTCCTCTCAGTCATATTGCAATCGTTTGCCCTTCTCAGTGGCTTTCTCTTACTCTTGACTCTCATGGGTAAACACACAAATAGCCAGTATCTCTTGAGGCTAATTTTAAAGACTATATCCTGTGATGTATCTTACTAAGCATTTTGAAGATTATTCTTTTTATCCACCCAATTTCTTATTAACAAATGGGCTTAGGGGCTTCCAGAAGTCTCCATCCAACATGAAGCATAGATCTCAAGTTGTGATGAGAAATGTGAGAGCAGAAATTAATAATCTACAGATGAGATGTCCATAGTGTATATTTGTGCCTTGATCACCTTTGTCCAGGTGTCTGACTCAATGGCTGTGGCCACTCTGATGCCTGGAGGCTCACACCGTAATTCTCCTGGCTTCCTCCTGGAGTTTTCTTTAAGAAACATTTTAAGATTTTATTCTAGTATCAGACTCTTATTTCCCTCTCACTTCAGATCACCTTTTAGTTTTCATGCTCAGTGTTAAGAAGTCTGCCTTCTTCCCTCAGGTCTGACCTATAGCTGCTTTCAATATAATGTTCACTGATGTTGAACAATATAATGTTCAACCTCCATTCACCTATGAATTCAGGTTGCCTAAAGCATGGCCACATTAGGATCCAATGCATGGAGGGTACATTTATATAAGAAAGGTAGAGACTTCTGGTTGATTCTGTCTATTTGGTAACTTTATGGGCCTCTGTCTTTACCCGTTTTAGGTGGGAGGACACACCATGCTCCCCATCCGCTGGATGCCTCCTGAAAGCATCATGTACCGGAAGTTCACCACAGAGAGTGATGTGTGGAGCTTTGGGGTTATCCTTTGGGAGATCTTTACCTATGGGAAGCAACCATGGTTCCAGCTCTCCAACACAGAGGTAACAAAGGGACAGGTCAGGATCTGGTTTGGGGGAAGGCTGATAATAGAGATCACAGAACAGGAATTGGATATAGTGTACAGATAGGTGGGCTATGGAGGGAGCCGAGTGGATGCAGAAAAATCAGGAGGAAAATCATAGTGGAGAAAAAATTGTAACTAAAGAAAATGGATATAACTGTCAAAAGAACACAAATCAAAAGTGTCTAAATGGAGACACGAGTCAGGGTTCTGTTTGTTCTGCTACTCATAAAAATAAAAACATTTCGGTTAAGAGCACTGACTGCTCTTCCAAAGGTCCAGAGTTCAATTCCCAGCAACCACATGGTGGCTCACAACCATCTGTAATGAGATCTGGTGCCCTCTTCTGGTGTAAGAGCATACATGCAGGCAGAACACTGTATACATAATAAATCTTTAAAAAAAAATAAAATAAAAACATTTCATAAATATGCAAATATGCAATGTCGTTAACTAGTGGCATCAAGGCCTCACAGTTGTGAGGTACTGAGAAGCACTGAGAGCCCTTGTGCAAGGACTCACTTAATACAAGTTCTCCTCTTTTCCTAAAAGACATAATTTGTTTTATTTTTTATTTGGATGTATTCAATATTGTTAATAAATACTAAATTATAATTTAAAAAATAAGAACATTTCACTAAGACAGAAAGTGAAAACAAAGAGCAGCTGAGAGTTTTTCTATTGTGACATCTTGTGCAAACACCCCCTACTTATGTCTACAAAGGTTTGAGCTACCCCAGGCACAGAGACACATGGATCCCTAATTGACTGAAAAGGCCAAGTTCAGAGTTATGTGCAGGTGTCCAAGAGTAAAATAAACCAACGACAGCACAATAATAGATACTTAAAATATTTTCATAATTGTAATTTATAATGAGCTAAAGTAATAGATAATGCATTTTAACAGTAACTAACGATTATCAATAGACATTTTTTAAGCACCTTTGGTGCAGTAACTTAGTAATTTTCACAGAAATACCTCTTGAGCTTTTGGATAAGGAAAGTGGGGGTTACTTGGCATCTTGGAAGAGACTGGGTGTCTTAGAGTACTAGACAAGGAGATGGCTTGGCTTGTGATTTTAGGAGTTTTCTATTTCTAAATGACACTGAGATACATCTCAAGTATGTGCAGAATGTAGCCATGTTGAGCCCGGGTTTCCTCACAGTCCACAGACAGCATGGGTGGGGCTCCTGCAGCAGCTGACTTACAAAAACGCCAACTTTTTTGGTACTCTTCCTTCTTGTTTTGAAATTATCAACACTGAAACCTTTTTATATTGAAATCTCATTCAAATACTCCAGAAAGTACTTTTCACTTAAAAGCTATGTTTATTTCCATTCCTCTATGTCCTGACCTGAAATTGAATCGAATTTCAGAGACCAAAAAAATAAGGCTGGGGATGTGGCTCAGTTGGTAGAGTACTTGCCTAATGTGCATGAAGCCCTTGATCTCCTGTGCCACATAAATCAGGCGTGGTGACACTTGCCTGCAATCCCTGCCCACAGGAGATAGAGGTGGTAGGATCAGGAGGCCAAGGTCATCCTTTGCTACATGTATGTTTGAGGACAGCCTAGCTCAAGTGAGACCTTGTCTCAAAACAAAACAAGGCATTTCTTTTTATCTGTGGTATCTTACTATGCAGGTATACTCAATGACACCTGACCTCAATTTCCAAAGTAAATCAAAGTATAACAAGCACTTTGGTGGACTTATAGAATAAGGAAAGAGTGTATATGGAAGCTATTTGTTGTGGTGGGTTTTATTTAAATTGGTATTGTTTTCCTAGGGAATGGGACACACACATTTGCACATCTAGATACATGTATGTGAACTTATATTCATGTAAACACACACATGCATGCATCTGGGCACAACCTCTGTAGTGTTTGGTAACCAAAGAAAGAAGAGTCCCTGGATGGATGTGCTGTTGGTGTTAGTAGAATCTTGTCATGGATCTCTAAGATGGCTAGAGAAGCTGATGGGGTGCTTGTGGCCTCTTCAAAGATGGTAGGGCCCTACCCTTGAAAGCAGGCTTTCTTACCTCAACTACTCCCCTTGCTCCATCCACAGAAGCAGCAACAGCAGCTAGATACTGGCAGTCACTGGTGATGGGCTTAACTGTGGAAGTCTACTGCCTGGGTGGTTCTGCTTTAGAGAAGATACCAGTGGGTGCCTTTGATCTAAGCATAAGCAGCAGCTATTGCAGTTTGAACTGAACCCTTCTTCATGAAGGTAGAGAGGGTAGAGGTGAAAATGGGGAGAGGTGTAATACCACGGTAGTTACAGCAGCCAGAGACTTACCAGGTTGGCAAGGAAACAATCCCAATGTACCATCACAGACTCCACAGTGAATGTGAACAGAGAGGGGCCGGCACAGGGAAGGTCATTCCAGGTCAGAGTAATGTGAGGTACCCAGACACTGGGGAGAAGGCACTGTTCTGCAGGATGCAGCAATAGAAGGGGAAAGAGAAAAGGACAAAGATCAGAAGAGGGAAACAGAGGAAGAAAGGAAGAGAGGGGTGTTCTTACCCAATAAAATACATGCTAATGGGGAAGAGAGGGCAAACATTTGCTCAGATACCGGACTACAGAAAACTTTTGTTTGCTTTGTTATCATCACAGTCAAACTTCAAATGTGGAAACCAAAGTTTGAGGTAACTTGCTTGAAGTCGCACAGTGCTAAAGTTAGATAGAAGTTAAAAGAAACCTGAAAATTAGATGAAGTTTTGAAAATTTCACATGTTTCAGTTTCAGTAAAGAAATGTCTGGCCTCCCAGAAGAGCCCAGGGGGACTGTTAGGAGTTGATACAATGTGGTGTCCTACATGGAATCCTGGAATAGCCAAGGAGAAGAGGTTAAAAGCTAAGGAAATTGGATAAACTATGGCATTTGGCTGGTAGTGGATTAACCAAATGCAGTGTGTGCTATCCTAATAGCAGGCAGATGGCAGGTCATAATGGGAACCATACATAATTTTCTCCTTTTTTCTTTGAACAAAACTTTTTTTAAAACAGAGTTTATTTCCTTGCTATTGTGAATAATGCACTCATAACAATAGATGTGCAAGTGTCTGTGGTGGGATGTAAGCCCTTTAGGTATATGCCTGGAAGTGGTGTGGCTGGGCCATATGGTAACACTGCTTTTAAATTCTTGAAAACCATCCATGTTGATTTCTAGCCTGGCTCACAATGTTTGTCAGTTTGTGTACACAGAAGAGTGAGTGTGGGATTTAGGGTATGAAGCTATAAAGGGGGTGATGGGAAGGAAAAAGAGGCACCGGGTTAAACCTTCATGAGGACACATGAGACTTGAGAGCAGAAAGGAGGGTGTGGAGGGGGCAGAAGTGTGCAGAGTGGTATCAGGAGGAGGGACAGGAAACGATATGAAGAGAATTAACAAAACCAAAGAAAACCAAAATGCCAGAATGAAGCGTAATAGTGCATTTTCTAATTAGAAAATAAAGTCTAGTGTTAAAATTAAGGAAAAAATGGGGGGAAATGGGGTATTACAAGTGAGAATACACTCAAAGTACAATATACTTGTATTAAAATGTCCTTATGTAACACAGTACTGTGTAGAATGGGGACACACCAATGGGAAAGTAGATAATTCTTTTAAAATGTATCTGGACTGCGAGTGTAGATAAGTAGTACAGAAATTGCCTACTTTTGAGGCCCTGGGTTCAATTCCCAGCATTTAAAAGGAAATGTCTTTGAGTCATTGGAATGGAGCTGGAAAGAACATGTCTGGGCCTCCTGCACCTTGCAGCCATCCCTTCAGTATAGTACATTTTTTTTTTTTTACTTGCTGCATTGGGTCCTTCTGGAACTCCAGATCCCAGTATTACAGACGAGGGTGGCGAGATCCTCTGAGGTTAACTGACTTGAAGTGGCTGGTCACCCAGGTAGCAGTGACTCTAGCAGCTCACAAAGAGCTATGGGCAGCCGAGGAGTGCCGGGAGCAGGAGAGGTGCTCTTCGCCAGGGAGGTCAGCACTGAAGACACACACTCAACTAATGTTATACGAACTGAGAAGGTTATATTTAGGACTATATCTGTATATATGTATACATATATGTATATATATATGCATATAATAACAATTGATGGAAGAAGAGGCCATGAATTTGAGTGAGACTGGGGAGGGGTAAATGGGAGTTTTGCACAGAGGAAAGGGAAGGGAGAAATGTTGTAGTTATAGTAGAATTTTAAAAATGTATATCAATAAAGTACTTCACAAAAAATCTTAAAAGAAATGAGACAGGTGATTCATTGCAGAGAGGAGGGTAGACTTTGCTGAGCAAAGGTCCTATGCTCAGAGGCAAGTAGGATGATGTGCACAGAGGCTGTGGCTGGGATAAGAGCTTGCTACAAATGGGAACCAGTGGCTACAAGATGGATCAGTGGATGAAACACTTGCTGTACCAGCATGGCGACTGGAGTTCAGATCCACAGAACCCAGACAACACAGCCACGCAGGTGTGGCAGCTGCCTGAAATCTGAGCAGAAGGCAGGGACAGCTGGCTAGAGGAGTCACTGGAAATGGTGAGTTCCAGGTTTAGGGAGAGACTCTGCCTCAATCAAGACAGTGAGTGGTATTCAAGCAAGGAAGGCACACAACTTCAACTTTGGGCCTCTACAATGCGTGTATATACACATTCATGCCCAATTACCCTCTCATGTGAACCCACACAAACACACATGTGTGAACATGCAAACACATGCACAGATGCATAACATATACATTCAGAGTTAAATGAAAATAAATAGGAACTAAGAGGAGACAGGTATACAGGAAGTAGACAGGTATGCAGGGAGCATACAGGTATGTAGGAAGCAGACAGACAGAGCTCTGTAAGGGGTTTTCAAAATCTCAGAAGCTAAGAGGTGGAGAAAGGGTGGTCTGGATCCAATCTCCATAACAAGGTGGGAGAGGAATGCTACTCAGGCAATCCAGATGTTAACCAGGACTACATAACTGTGAAATAAAAGGGATAGGTACCAGTGTAAAGTGGAGTGCTCTGGCCCAGCAGGTACAGCACAGAGAGCACCAATGAGATCCACCTGTACCATTCATCACCCCTGCAACATCTGCCTAGGCAGAGAAGAAAAGTAGGGCTGCCTCCTACCTGGCTGTCAGCCTGTGTGTGTGGCTCTGATGAGAAAAGCTGATGTCTGTTACTAGGTAGGAGTCTCAGGACCAAGGATGAGCTTTGAATGAACTTCTGGATATAACTTCTTTATTCTTTGCTCTCTCAGGTCATTGAGTGCATCACCCAAGGCCGTGTCTTGGAGAGACCCCGAGTCTGCCCAAAAGAGGTATATGACGTCATGCTGGGGTGCTGGCAGAGGGAACCCCAACAGCGGCTGAATATTAAGGAGATCTACAAAATCCTCCATGCTTTGGGGAAGGCCACCCCAATTTACCTGGACATTCTCGGCTAGTGTGACTGGTGGCCAAGCATTTATATTCTGTTGCCTCCTCTCTCCCTGCCTCATATCCACTTTTTCCTCATCTCAACTCCTTTCTTCCATCTTTGACTGAAACGAACATCTTCATATAAACTCAAGTGCCTGCTACACATACAACACTGAATTTAAAAAAAACAAAAACAAAAGAAAGAAACCCTGTAAGGCAGTTTGACATATATATTTATATATATATAACTATCTATCTATCTATATCTACAGAGAATTACCTTCTCTAATACATAGAGACGCTGCTGATACAGAAAACCATAAGACATTAACAACTGAGAACATTTTAAATATTATTATTAACACAAATGAAATTCCCTTGACTTAAGCTGTAACCCATGCTTCTTCAGCTCTGACTTTTCAGAGCTCTTCGTCTTGACTGGCAGAGAGAGAGAGAGAGAGAGGACGGGAGGAGGCATGGTGGTGTACAATCATCAATGCACATGAGTGATCCCTTGATGATGCTTGGCAAGGAAACAATTCGGGAAGTCCAGGCCCTTTGGAAACATCTCTGGTCTGCCTTGACCTTTGCCTCCACTCTTTTCCTCCTCGTTGGGACAATTTTCTAATTTGTTCATTCTACAAAATATACAGTCCTGATGCTTTTGGGAATCAATGACGATACCTACAAGCAAATACTGAGCAAATACCAACACCAGATCACTCAAGAGCAAAGCCATCCACAGTCCACTTAAACACCAAACAAGTCAGGGTGGGGGACTCCGGGAGGAGCAAACCCCAACCTTCTAGATGTAAATCACCCTCAAGTTCCTTCCTGGGTTTTAAGAGATTCGATCCTCTGAACCTGAAGAACTGGACTTGATGGATTTTAAGGACCGAACTGAGGAACTAAAAACCACTGAAGTCTGGATCCTCTCAAGGCACTGCCTCTCATCTTTCCATCACTGGGAGGACTCTGGCCCGTCCTTTCACGTTCAGGCCCTTGGGAGTTTGGAGGTTTAAAGTCCACATTCTCTAGTGTCATCTGCTAACGTGGACACAGCAGTCTTCAGGGCTCTGGTATTTGCTTATTTGCTTGTAGATCATAATTAGGCAACCCCTTGGGTCTTATTTCTTATCTTGCTTCCCCCATATCCTGAGGTTCTATCAAGTCCTGGGTAAACCCAATTGCCAGGGAAGGAATCCAGGTGAGAGCCTGAGACATGTGTGTTTCAAGAAGTCAGACCCTGGCACTGGCAAAAGTCAGCAGAGAAGAATCTACTTGGCACCTGTGCTGGGCCCTTGGCATTCTCCTCACGTTTTAAGCCCTTGGAAGGATTGATGCATCTGCCTTTGTGCTGCTGTGAAAAAGGCGGGGACTGAGAAATCGCTTTGTGGGCTGAGTGTGTGTGGGAGGTGGCCAGTGTGGCACGGCTGAAGCTTCTCTGGAAGACGTCCAATGAGTGACCAGTGCCACAAACTTGGCGTCTTAATGAGGACCAGGAGCTGCTGACCGGGGAGTGAGAACGAAGCATTTGGGTTGGGGCCAGTCCCCCAGGCCTGAGCTCCCAGGGAATCACTGCCTCCCCACCTGTGCTGCTGAGGACTGCAAAAGAGAAGGTCTCTGGACGGCTCTCAGACATAACAATGAAATGCCCCGGGAGTCAAGAGCCTGGCCACACCGAGCCATCCTGCTGAGGAGGAGGGGATGTGCCCTTCTGAGGGTACCAGTCTCTCCAACTCATCCCAAGCACAGAGCTACCTAACAGACGTTTTCCTACCAGAAGCTCCCAGGAGCTGTGGACTATCACTTTCCTTTCTAGCTGAAGAAACTGTCTACAGCCTGGATACCCTGGCCAGCCCAAGGCAGCTGAAGTATGGCAACTCTGTGGCGGATTTAGGACTGGATTATGTGTTTGTGGTTTTACTTTTTTTTAAAAAAAATACCAACAAATGTTTTTATTCAAATAGAAAAGAGCTGTGCTCAGATTGTAGCCATGGTTGGGATTCAGGTATCAGCAAGCCTGCTTAGCTGGACTGGGGAGAGAGCTGGGCTAACTAGGAATTCAGTGTGGAACTTCTTACTCTGCTGGGTACCTGGCCCCTGAGGACATCAGGGAAAAGCTCTTTGGATTGTTCCCTTCAAAAGAACCCTTTGCTATCCTGTGGCAATTACTTCTTTTATTACTCCTTGAATCAGTCCACCTGAGGCTTTGATCTCTGCTGGGGCGATGAACATTGGGTGGAAGTTTCCATTCCAGTTTTAATCTGGACAACTAAGCGGGAGACATTCAGGCAAGGAATGACTGGGTGGGGTGAGGAGAAAGTGTTTTCTAGTTAGAAGTGATGTTCCCAGGTCTAAAGGCTTTGGGAGGGAGGGTGGCGTGCTGGAAGAAGTGGAGAACTGAAGGAGTTTAGAGCCTTAATGGGATAGTTGGGAGAAGGGACAAGACTGAACTTGCTCAAGTGTCCTTGTGTTAGCTCCATGAGCTTCCACATTGGCATCAGGGGCACCTCCTCTCAAAGCCCTCCATTATCAGCTGCCTGTGTAACAGTAAGAGAGAGGGCAATGGAGTTAGGAGGGAGGCAGAACGGGACCAACCTTCTTACTATCCCGGCATCCTCTCTGTGTAGATTTTTACATGTGGACCTTGGAAGGGTGGAGAAAGGGCTCGCAGTACTTCGGAGGGTAAGAACATGCAGAACAGCCTTTGGATAGTGAAGTGTATTCTAGGGCTTTGTGGTATGCAGAGTGTCTTACTCCTCCTGTACTGGCACAGGACATATATGACTCACTTCACTGTGTCATGCTTTTCTTATGCGCAAACTAAGGTGTACCCTTGTTACGTCCCCATCCTATTCTAGCTCTGAATTTTTAGCTTCTAACAGCACGGGGTCACTGTGTCACTTTTTTTTCTCAGCATCACTCTGGGATGCCTAGAAAATTCTCCTTTGGCCTTGCGAGAGCAGAAGGTGGTTGTCTCTGAGGACATACTGTACTTGGGCTGGGGTTGGTTCCAGTAAGTCAGTCTGATCCTCTTTTGCCCCTATGTCACAACATGCAAGAGTCTAAAATGTCTGAGACTACTTCAGGCTGGGGCAGGGGGGACACTCTGTCTCATTCCCTACCCCCGTCTTCCCCTAGACCAGAAAATTGTTATTGGTGGTTTATTTATTTATTATTTATTTATTTATTTTGGAAAGAATCTAATGTGGTCAGTCCAATGAGTCTAGAATTGACATCCCATGAGCCCATGTAGCCGCTGCCACCTGCTCCATCCGGCTTTCTACATAAACACATCTACACTTTTGAAGACCATGCCAAATTGATTTAGCCCTTAGCCTGAAGTTAACTTCACTATGAGCACTTGTGAATGTTCCAGGGGACCCATGCTCATCTCTGTGCCCTGTCCCTGTCACCTGGGCCCCTCCTGGACTGACAAAGGGTGACTTGGACGTCCATTGTAGAGCAGGGTGTCATGGCCAAGGGTCCTTTTAGTTATTTGCTTTGGGCATGAACTTGATGCTCCTTTCTGACTTACTTCGGCTCTTAACTGTGAGTGGTTGTCAAGGGTCACTAAATGTTCGCTAGTCGATAGACAAAGGACTTTGGTCTTCCTCCACTCAGCAGATCATGCACAAGTTTTTCCCAGAGAAAGCTTTTCACTGGAGGTGGAGAGCCTCCATTTTTTTCTGGGCGTGAGCTGAACAGTGTTGTTCATCTCTGGTGATGCTTACCTGGTGGAACACACTAGTGCAAGTACTTCTGGTGCTAACTATGACAGAAACCAGCGCCCACTGAAGAGCTTCAAAACAGAAGTAGGGTGAGTCAGCCATGCCAGAAGAGTACTGCATACAGCCGAAAGACCACTGAGAGCCCTGCCTCTGTGCTTGGCTACCTGTGATGTGCTTTGGGCTAAATCAGCATTTCTTTGATTGTCAGTCTTCTCGCCTGAGGTACAGGGGGTTAGACTAGGTGGACCCTTAGTGTCTACTTAGTTTGAAAGGCTATTTTGAGTCCCCATCTACTCCTCTATTCTAAGGTTGTTCGCTAGAAATGAGAGATGAAAATGAAAGGAAGACAGGGAGGGAAAGGAAGAAAAATTACTGTTGACAAAAAGTGACTGTAAAAGTAAAGTAAAGAATATTTAGTGGCTGGTATGGTTGAGGGACACTGGTGCAGGATCCAGGCACATAAGTCGGGAAGTTGGTATTTGCTTTCTTCAGGGGAGTCTACCCTTCTCTACCAGCCATCTTCACGACTTCACATGCCCACATTGGCAGAAACGAGTCTGGAATATGGAGACAGTCCTGCCCACCTCCCATGAAAAGCAAGTAGTAATCTGGACTCTAGGTCAGAAACCAAGAGATTTTTATATGTACATGCTTTCTCTTTTATATCCAAAAATAAGACTGGTGGCATACTTTTTTCTCCTTTCTGAACCAAACAGCAGCAGTAATATCTTTACACTTGCCTGAGAGTTTTTGCAATCTTTTCAATTCTTTGCTTACAGGGGAGCATAGAAATATTTGTGGATGATAAGTCAATGAAACCAGATTCCAGCAGTCCCATGAGACAACCTCAAACTCCAGTGTCTGCTTTGGTTGGGCACCAACTTGCTAAAATGCATAAGGTGTTTACCTCAAAGCAAAAAAAATGTCACCTTGAGCTCAGACCCCGTGAGCTGTAGTCACTCAATATGATTTTATTTCTTCAAGATTCACGTTTATTTGGTACCAAATAAATTGTTTCAACCAATACTTAACAGGGCTGGAAGGGGAGTTCCAAGTTTGGGCATCATTATTAAAACATCAGTTTGGACTTCAGAACCTTTTGGAGGATTGCTCGAATATTACCAGGAAAGCATTCCTTTTCAGCTCTAGCCATATGCACATCATGTGTTCTAACTATCCACTTGATGGTCACAGAGTCACAAAAGCCTCCCTGGAATCAGCAAATCAGTGCAGTTTGGGATTCTCTTTGTACCTTATTTTTCTCCTGGATGAGAACTGCAGAGGTGGACTGGCCTCGGAGATATTCAGAAACATCCCAAAGGGAAACTGGTTATCTCATAAAGTTTGATCATCTGCTGCTCCCCATACTAAATTATATTGACAATAATATCCGAGCATCTCAACATCATCCCTCCTGGTTTTCTGATAACTCACCATGCAGAAACCCTTTCTACTTATATGTTGTTTGGGATTTGGTATTGGAGTTACCAGCGGGGCAGATGGAACCTCTTCCAAGAGGGCCAGACCAGAGAGGACCTGAGAGGATAGCAGTTGATTGTGCTCTCTGATAGGCACATGTGATAGTGGTGGAGGAGGTGACAATTTGTTTCAATACACTGGGTTGTCCTACCCAGGGCCCTGCATTTTAGCTTCTGAACAAGGTTTCTGTTTATCTGGTGCATTCTCTCCAAACACATTTGTGTGTGTGTGTGTGTGTGTGTGTGTGTGTGTGTGTGTATGTGTGCAAGTTTTTGATGTACCAACAGAGACACCTTTCTATGAGAACTGGGCTCCACCTGAGAGAACTCGGAATTCCTTTTCTTTTCCTTCTTGCTAGCAATATTAAATCATAGAAAATCATGGGTTTCCTTATGATACTTTCAAATATGTGAGTCCTTGGAATTCCTCACCATAGTCATAGAATTCAGATTGCCCTTCCTGTGGGGGGCTAGGTTCCAGCTTTAAGACAAGGCCTGGTTTGATATTTGCCATAAGAATGCTGTCTTAAACCAGCAAGCAAATTTCCCTCTTTCATACAGAGGTAAGATGGTAAATTCTATTAACTTTTTTTCCTGATCATCCAGGAATATATGGAACTCCAAGATCTGAGCACAGAGTTTCCAAGAGATATTTATAGTCCGCAAGTAGATGCTTTTAATAGAAGGTGGATTGAGATTACAGAAGACAAGGAGCCTACAGAACTCCTACTTCTGAGGCGCTTCCAGGCATTTTGATAGTGCTTTCTTTTAGTATCTGAGAGGATTCAGTCTTTTCTCATCTTTAGGCAGTTGGAATTTAGACCTCTTTCCTGCAAGAATAAAGGTAGTGTGAGAGCCCAGCTACGCACTGTGTAGTCTAGCATTCCTTTGGATGCAGTATCCCCTTAAGTGAGTGAGAAATCACACGTTCAAATCCAAATCTGGTATTTATTATTTCATTTAAGAAACATTCCTAGGAGTGTGACTTTGAAAAGGAACTAAGTTTATATTCTCCGGAGTAGTAGGACCTACTCAATTTCTCCCCTTGGAGATTAGTCCGTGTTCTGTCTCTATTTCTAAGCTGCCTGACACTTGTCTGGTGCCCTTGATGCTACTTTTGGACAGGAAGAGAAAGCCTGGTCCAGTACTGTGACTTCTGCTGCCCACAGGAGAGGAGTACATTTCAGTACAGAGTGTCTTCTTTCTGCTTTTTCATTTCCCCCTTTTTCTGGGTTTGCATTCTCTGGCTTCCATGGGACAGAGGGTCTGGATTCTGACAGTCTGAGAAAGTCATAATATGAGGTGAATCCCAGGACCACAAACAGTTTGGACTTCAAACAGTGAGAAAATTGGCGCCGAATGATTCAGCACACAAGGCAGAAAACTTTCATTTCCTGCAGGCAGGATGGAATTGACTGTTATATTAAGACTTCTGAAGGAGCCCTGCCCTGGAGTAATTTCAGTGCTGTCAGACAATGTTGACATCTAGATTAACCTCTGTGCAGTGAATTTGACTGCACAGCTCATTGAGATGCATGTGGCGTGTCCCTGTAAATCCCATCTGAAACCCTTGGTGGCCCACCCAGAGCAACTCCCTCTCCCATCTCCACCTCCTGATCTCACAGTCCATGAACTTTTAGCCTCTGGGAGCAAAGGCACTGTGGCTGGGGTCTGACCCTCAGAAAGGAAGTTTTGACCTTTCTGTGAGCACGATCTAGTCCTGCCTCATGTTTGCTGCTTGGTCAGAGTGACAGCCCTTGTCACTGTATTGGTTTTCTCCCAGAGGAGACGGCAAATAAAGGCATGAAGGCCATTCCACTGATGACAAACAGTTTTATGACTGATCTAAAAGTGAAATGGTCTGCAGAGGAGCCAAGGGCCCAGAGTTGGTCTATCTGTATGCTTCCAGTCTTTCAGGTTTCAAAAGAAAACAGCAAATGCAACAAGGTCATGACCACAGATGAGGTGGGTAGGGTCTGGTGGCTGAAAGGACTTGTCCTCTATACAGGTGCTTCCTCTGGTCCTTTTAATAAAGGCATCCTAGACTCCTACTCACCTGGCTGGGATAGTGCCTTGTAGGAAGCTCTGAGTCCTTCTTGCTCATGGCATGATGCCACACTGAGATCCCATAGTTAGATGAAACCTTTCAGATAAGGTGGCCCACAGCAAAAGTACATACATACATCTCATGCATCAAAAATTCTGAAAAAGGACCTTCAGCTTGGTCCCAGCTACCTCCAGACTCTGCAAAGCTACTCAGCATAATCCTAGGCATTTCTGAAAACACACCTCAGGATTTTAGAATACCCTGCCCAAATCTGAAGAACAAATTTCTCTGCAGAATCGTTGAATCTGATTCTCCTTCAAATTATTTTTCCTTCTTTGCTTCTTTAGTATAAGTAGTGGGAATCTCTTTCTATATTCTCAGATACTTCTTTAGGAAGTTTTTAGCCAAGGACATTGTATTTATTGACTAAGAAAATAGATTTCTGGGCTGAGCAATATAGCAGTCACACAGAGGAAATCTTGATGACTTTATTTAAAAACAATTATCAGAGTTGTGGGTTTTTTTCTAGCTTCTCAAGCTGATGGAGAACAAACCATATTCATCCTTTTTGTTATTTGTCATATGTATTCACTTCCACATAGAAAGAAGTAAGCGCATGCATGCAAATGCCTGGGTAATTCTATTGCATCTAGACCACAGTGCCCCATTTGTGTTTCTTTCCTTGATCTCAGCGTGTGTGTGCAAATGAGTGCACCACACATGTGGTTTCCTCACTGTGCCTCATCATTGTTTGTATTAGCAGCACAAAGCCTATGACTTTCTGCATTATGAGTTATTTACAAAGTTGAGGCTCCTTTGATGGAGAAAAAAAGTACCCAAGTTCTCAAAAATTTCATACATAAAGACAGGACTCCTCCCTATCTTTTTTTCAAGGTTTAAAAAAAAAAACCCAAAAAACAGACTGAGCCTTGATTCTGATTATCTGTAATTAATTTTCTGGGGGAAGGGGTATCAGATTCATCATAAATATTATGTGTAAATATAAATGTGAATGAGTTTAAGCTGACTATTGACCTAACCATTGGCTATTAAAACTCAAGTGTTCTAGTGGAACTGTGGCATGCAGTCCTTGGGACACAAGAACAGAGCTGAGTTAGGAGCTGGGAGGCTGGATTATAGGGCATTTGTCTGGGCACCTGAGTGAATATCAGCTTTTAACTGAAAGCAGGCAAACAGGCTGCAGACTGTGCTCTCTCTCAAACAGCAGTGATGAGGAAAGCCACTCCGTTCTAATCTGTTGCTCAGGTTAGTTCCCGACAAAGCATATCATAGCAGGTATTCCCTGAGAGGACATTTGCAGACATCCCATTCCAAAGGGCCAGAGTCGTTTGTACCATATGCTCAGTTTCTCACTTACAGCTCTCTCTGAACTCTAAATCTTATCTGTCTCCAGCTCCCTACCTCACCTCTTAGAGGCCAGGCTCTGAGAGCTCTAGAAAGTGGAGGAGAGTCTGGGTGTCTCATCTCCTTAGCCTGAGCATGTTGTGATTTAGTCTGGGTTTCTGCAGAAAGAAGCAAGCTGCTCTCCCAGCCATCCATCAGTCTCTTTCCAGCTCCATGGACCAAATGATTAGCGCTCATTAGTGCCTCATCAGTTGCTTTTGCACAGGAGACTCTGATACAACAGGCCTATTATAAGGCCCCAGTCTGTCTTTTTGAAGTCATCTCATCCTTCTGGCATGGTTAAGAAAGGCAAGCCTTCCTACAAGCATGTTTTCCTTCACATTTCTGTCTTGTTTCCTGGCTGCTGAATATTCTAGTAAATGACAAAGTACAGTTTTTCTTTTTTTCTAGTCTACTGTGAGCGGGGGCCATGTCTCTCCATGGACTAGAGCTCTGTGTATCAGCCACGGTTTATCCAGTCTTGGGACGGTTAAAAGAGTGACTCACAGATTTGGTGGAAGTGATCTTTATTGTGACAGCACCAGAAAGGTTTGTACCTTAAGAAAGAAACTGAATCAACACACCGTGGAGTAGGAATGGAGAAGAGGTCAACTGAGGATCTGGGAAGCCAGACTTTCTAGTCCACACATCACTTCATATCAACAGATGCTTTAACTGTTCCAGCAATGGTTCTTACAGACACAAATAGCCACATCCACTAGTCAAAAATAAATCCATCATGTCTGATGTCTGACACAACCACTTATTTTTTTAAAAATCTTTTTTTCCCCATGAGCTGGAGAAATTGCTCAGATTCTAAGAGCACTGGCTGCCATTCCAGATGAGCTGGATTTGATTCCCAGCACCCACACGGAAGCTTACAACCATCTGTAAATCCAGTTCCAGGGGATCTCACACCCTCTTCTGGCCTCCACAGTCATCAGGCATGGAAGTGGTGCACAGGCATTCATATAGGCAAAACACTCACACACATTAAAAACACCCCCCCCCCATAACTCTAGACAGCTTAAACATGTTTCTTTTCTTGGTTTCTACTAATATCTTCATTGTGATTCCCAGGTTTTTAATTTTTTTATCTGCATTTCCTTAGGAAAGAGTTGATGGTCTATTTTAAGTTCTATCTATGAAGAAATGTCAAGACAGATGCAAAGTGAGGGAGCAATGGAGCCAAAAGGTAGAGGTCTTACGAGCCATTATTTCTTTCTGATCAGCCTCTTGCTCTGTAAAAGCTCTGCTAACAGCCTTCTGCCTGCCATTCACTGAGGATTATCATGAGCAATAGAGTCAGCCCTTAGTGGTGTCCCCAAGGCCCCATGGTTGCGAAAGCTTACTCCTTGGGCATCTGGCGCTATTCATGGTTGAAACATTTGACTTGTGCTGTGTTTGAGGTACACCTTCCTTATTCCCTCCAATGGTTGGTTTCTAGAGAGTTAGTAATTAACCTTTTCCCACTTTGAATCACCAGCGCACATACAGTAATGGAAAATATGTTGTAATTCTACCAGCAGAAAGGGATGTTTTACCCACTTAGCAGGGGTGATTTGTAGATTTCATTTTCTGGCATGGAACCCTGGGACATCTTGAAGCCAAATAGCATCTCTTCTCCTTTAACTCCTTACCAACTCATTGCTGCTTTGAAGAGGTGCTGTAGATTTCAGAATAATGCCTGGTAAAGTAAGACTGCATTATTTAAGTCAAATACTAATACTGATCTTGCAGGGAGATTGAGGGTGATAATGATCTTGAAGCTTTCTAGGGACTGTGGTCCCCACAAGGGAAAGGCAGGGATAATCAGAAGATGGAGAAGGCTATCCTGGTGAAGACCAAACTCAAGGCCTCATTTTCAATGGCCCAGAGCACAACAGAGAGGTTCCAGAGGGACTCCTGCTGAGGAACGTGTCTGGCTGAAAATGAAACCCCAGACAATAAATCCTGAGGCCAGATTGCCAAGGTTACAGCAGTGAAGTCATTTACAGTCTCTAAAAAATGTCCCAGGTGTTTGTGATGCCAAGCACTATTTTAAGTTCCTTGCTACGAAGACTACTTGGAAAGTGAAATCTTTCAAATGTTATTTCCCTTCAATTTCCAAGTAGCCATCAGGTGTGATATGTCTGACAAAATGTTGTCTGTGTGTTGTGAAAGGATTTTGACCACTCATGAGAAAAAGCAAAATAAAGCTGAGTACCAAGAATCCTGAGAAACTCGGAAATGTTTCACTGGAGTTCAGATGATCACATCTTCTTTTTTCTTTTGACCTTGGGCTCAGTGTTTATTTTTCTGATACAGGAAAGCAGATTTTCTGTTCTAGACTTCTATCTGAGTGATTTTTACCCCTGCTATTGTCTGCCAGGCAGAAAGCACCCCAGCTTTCTTTGAAATGAGAATCCAAATTGGGATATGTTTGTAAATTGTGGTGTGAAATTGCAGAAGGCAAGCTGGTTTGGAGTGGTGTTTCCTAATTCTCTCGGATAGGACATAGGCTCTTCTAAGCTTTGTTAAAGCCTGCTTGGAACAAATAGTTTCACCATGTGACTTCCTATAGACATGACTGATAAATTAAAGATCTCAGAGGTATCATTTAAGAAGTAAATTGATGAACATGGAAAGTTTGAGCTAATACGCTAACAGGAACAGTAAGTACTTACTTTAATGATTGTTTTCATTCCCTTCTCTGAAAGTTTAGCCTTTTGGGGGACCATTGGGACATTTCTTTTCCAAGGCTAGCAGAGATTGATTATAGTTCATGTCGAAAAGCAAAGGCTTTCTTGAGCCTGTTGGGGTTGGAGGTAACCCCAAATGGCCCATGTTATTTTTCTGATACAAGTACCACAGCAATAGGAGTCTTCTTGAGTATGTGTTTGGATCCTGGTGGTTTGCACAAGGGATTTGTCAAATTAAAAAAAAAAAAGAAAGCAAGTTGGGGCAAGAAAATTCTGACTAAATGTGAAAGAAAAAAAATCAGTTCTGCCAGCAGACATTCCTGTACTATTCAGTGAAGAAATACATTCTCTTTTCAAGATGAGTTTTACTTTTTGAGGTATGTGTGCTGTGCTGTGTGTGTGTGTGTGTGTATGTGTGTGTGTGTGTGTGCGCGCGCGCGGTGTGTGTGTGTGTGTGTGTGTGTGTGTGTGTGTGTGTGTGTGTGTGTAGGTGGAGGTAGGAAACAAGTATGAAGCTGTTGTTTACACATTTAGATGTTCTCTCGAGCACAGTAAAAGCTCTGTTCAGTTTCTTGGAACATGACAATAAAATTAGGGTTACAGAGGAAATAAAGGCTGGTGTTTTAGAACAATGTGAAATAGTCTCCAAATATTCCTTTCTGAAACCTTCAGTCATAGCAAATCAAGTCAACCTCATATTTGTTGTTGATATCAGGGCAAAACAGTCAGTGTACAATATCTGCAGGTCCTAGTGCTTTGTCTGTCTGTGGGCCTCTTTTCTGAAGGTATAGAATTCTTAATTCATGTCAGGAACTTGGCCAACATGGCTAAATGATGAAATGGCTTAGACAGTTTAGAGTAAGCTACCCCATGTAGATTTTTGGCAAGGGTATTAGGGTTGTTTCGGAGCTATTTTTTTTTTTTTTGCCTCAAATGATATTTCAAGTGATTTGAAATACAGTTTGAGACCTTTCACAGAAGGTGAAAGGACAATTTAGTTTCACAGTAGTATTTGGTTTTGCCCATCCCAGAAGTGTAAATTCTGCTGTGAGCTGGCTATAGGGTTTCAGCACCAGGGACAGCAGTCATTTCCCTCATCTGAAGTCTATTCTGGTGATTGGATTTCCAGACAGGTTTTTTTTTCCAACACTCCCTACCCATTGAACTTGGAAGATTTTATTCTTAAGTTTGGGTGCTTATATATTCAATTTTTCACGATCCAGGTATTACTTCTCTAGTTGGAGGTGTGAACCTGGGAGAGAGTGGAGCTGAAAAATGAGTCGGACTAAAGTCTCATGCAATAGCCAACATTATTCAGAGCACCAGACAGTTGATATTCTGAGGATATTCTGAGGATTAAGTAAGGTCATGAACAAAGTTCATGTGAGTTTAGGCTATATTCAGCCACAAGGACAACTGGTGCTTGGAAACATCTTTGAATAACAAACGTAAGCAGCAATGTGTGATCAGTCTGAAGCAAATCTACTCCTATTTACTACACCTGGGAGGGCCACAAAAGCACATTCCAAGAACAAACCATGTCATGGAGAAACATGGGTTACAAGACTTTTGCCTTGTTTTCTTGGGGTTATCTCACAAGCTCTCAAAAATCCTCCTTAGACAGCTTCATTCAGGGACCATGTTCCAACATCAACATCCAGGAATAGATTTTATTTTCCCCCAAACCTGATATAGCTGTTTCTGCCATGTCCTTGGCCTGCTCACAAAGTATAGACTGTCACAGTCAGGTTTCCCAGAGATGGGAAAGACTGAGGTACCAGTGGTAGGAATGCTTTGGGGCAGAAATCCCTTCCTTATTAGGCACCCTAGACTTGCAAACTCCTATAAGGAATACTACTCGTTGATGACCACTTCTAAAAAAAAAAAATAAGCATAGTGTTCACAATATGCAAGGCCATGGTTCATTGGTATGCATCCAGAAGCAGTAATAATGCACAGCAGTGGAGCTGAAGTTCTGACCTTTGAGGACAAAGAAGGGTCTAGCAATGCTGTCAAGAGGTATTCTGGAAACTTGTGGAAGGCTACTACTTTGAATCTTGGCATCCAGTTTTTAACCTTGAGTGCTGTTCAACAGCTCTTTTTGCCTTAAACAATCATGATAAGATTGGAAGTAGCTCCTTATGGCTTTCCCCATGCCTGTCCAAAGGAGTCACTGGGAAAATGGGAGTAACAGAAGCACATGTTGTCACTATGCTTTGTGATCATCCAGTTTTCCTATAGCACAACAATGCATAGGTGTCACCACAGAGGTAGTACAGTCTTCTATTGTTTACTTGGCATCCTCCTTGGGGCCCTCTCTCCAAGATGGTAACTGAATAGCATCTGTTTCCTCCTCCTCCTCCTCCTCCTCCTCCTCCTCCTCCTCCTCCTCCTCCTCCTCCTCCTCCTCCTCCTCTCCCTTCCCCTCCTCCTCCTCTTCCCCTCCCCCTCCTCCTCCTCCTCTTCTTCTTCCTCCTCCTCCTCCTTCTTCCTTCTCCTTCTTTTTCTTCTTCTTCACAGGTGTTACACAAGCTCCATTTTGGCTGCCTCTGAATTATCTGAGACCTGATCAAGCTGTCATTCTTCCTAGCTCCCTTTTCTCCTTGTCTCTTACACATACTTCTTTCCCCCTCATTATTACTTATAACGATACATAGCATTTAATGATAAGAGACCATGCAGCATTCCTTTTAAGGATAGAGAAATAGTCAGGCCTCAAAGGAGCAAGTTCAACAGAAACGTGATGTTTAACCTTGGGGTAGGTTGGGGGAGGGGCACATCCCTCTTCCTTCCTTACCTTCTTAAACAGTTCCATTCATGCTCACACTTGTCACACAAAGGGGACAGCAGCCTGCATTTCTCTGGGTGGCTTTCATGAATACAGAGTGGGCAGGTCAAAATATCCTCTATTTGAATCTGTTAAAACAGGAGAGCTTTGTTTTCTATTTTAATCAAGGAAGGGTCCTAGTAAAGGAAAGATATGTACAGAAAAGACCAGCTATAGGAGAGCTTCATAAGAGAATGTTTTCTATAAAATGACAAAAGAGCTACAGACTCATCTTTCATGGGATACATGACTCCCTGGCAGGCAGAAAGGTAGTCTGAGATGAGCTAGAGAACAAGCCCCTTTGATGCCTCAGGAGGAACAGGCCAGAATGAAACCCCAGCAAGGTTCTTGTACTTTTTCTGGAAAAAAAATCTTCAAAATTTCAAGGGCACATCTAGTTCTGCCTCTTCAGAGGCCTGCTCAGTGCTACTTCTGGGTTCTCAAGGCAAGTGCCCTGTAAACACCAAAGTCTTGCATTTTCCACTCTCAGCCAGCAGTGGCTATCGTGAGTGGAATGTTTTTCCCTTCCTTAAGTGAAAGGGACTTGTTTTCAGGAGAAGTGTCCTTTAAACATCCAGCTAAAACTGGAGGTAATTTTTTGCATGAATGGCTTTTTACAGCTAGGTCTAAAGCAGAACAAAACTTGTATTAAACTAAGTGCTACTTTACATATCTTATTTCGAGGGAAATGAAGGATTTATTGCCGTGTAAATGATATACACTGATTTCTTTCCTACTGGACATTACATGTCCCTTTATCTTTAGGCTGATGTTGTGCGGCAAACTTTCAATATCTGGAAAATCAGCTGGTACCTACTTCAACGCACTAGCAGGACATTATGTTCCCACTGAGGAATTTTGCAAATGAAGTGTGGGTGCTGATGCAACTGATTTCCACCCCACCCCTCATCCCTAAGCTTTCTGTACTAAATATCTGTAAAGTGATTATATCTTGTCTGACCCCATGTGTTTGTGTATATTTCCCAATGTTTGTAAAACTATAGTGGCGATCTGAAGGGTTATTTGTTTTTGTGGCAACTGCTGAACTATGGGTGCGGCCTAGGGGACGCATGTGGCATATGTACACAACAGTTTTGGGGCCAAGCAAATGTACTCACTGAGTTTGAGAAGTGCGGTGAGTGGCAATATGGCTTGGCTTGGAGGGTGTTCAAAAATGGGTAGAGTGTTGCCAAGTTATTGTTACTTGCTGAAGACCTTGATGAAGCAGAGTTAGGATGTGCTCACTCAGATCTTAGGTTGCTTATATAAATCCCAACTGACCAATCTTCTGCTTTATTTTTAACAGAACTATTCTTTCATGAGGCTCACTCTATATTCCACAGGCTGTTGGGAAATGCTGATCATGCTTGCTTCCCATGATTGGATTCCCGAGGAGCTGTTACTATAGCAGACTGTGGTGTTAGATACACTAGGAGTAAGTCATAGTACCCCTTCCTTGAGAAGTCATCCCTTCCGTTGTTTTCCTTTCTCACAAATTAATTCCATTGTCTATGCTAACTTTATTTAGATGTGTGTAAGTATTGGAGAATCAATCTAGTTAAAATGATGGCTGTGTTTACCTCTGGAGAACAGGTTCACAGTCTTAGGTAAAACTCTTCCAGGAACTTATCTTTTGTGAAACAGAGCAAAATCAAAACAGAAAAGAGCAAAGAGTAACTTGATAAGATGGCAACATGGCCCCAGGGTAGAAAGAGGTGTTCTCAGTTGACAGGAAGAGTTGTGTTGGAAAGGCAAGTACTCACCCTTCTTCTAGTCCTACCCTGCCTCCCTTCCTCCTCAACCTCAGAAGAAAACAGAAACTTATTTTTTTAAACTGTATTAATAATTTATGTTTAATACAAAAGGATGATTTAATGGTATCACCAAAGGTCATTTCTCTCATTGTGCATGTCCTTCGCTCTCAACCCCATACACTCATTCCATTCTTCACCCTCACTTCCATCCCAAGGCAACTGTGTGTCTTCATAAAAACCTATGGATGTTGGAGTTACATGTGGGGGTATACATTTAACACCTGACACTAACAACTGATCATTCTTCACTTCCAAGTGACAATTATTACAATAAGGAAAACTCTGTTCTTGGTTTTTGTTTGAAATCATTTTATACATATATATGTATATATGTGTGTGTGTATGTATGGACATATGTATGTATATGCACATGTACATGTATATATGTATATACCCATCTCAATATAAATATATCATATGTGAGAGTTGTAAATACTCCTTGGTCATGCATCTGTCTTCCTCATAGTATCATATCTTCAATGTTATGTTAACGACTCCATTTATTGATTGATGAGATCATGTGTAGACCTGTATCCTCCTGACATAGTTTATGTAGGGTCTCTTCTCAAATAAAGTATAAAACAACAATGCCCTTGGTTTATTTGGATTTATTGTATCGAGTTTAAAGGTGAGCAGAAGTTCGGGTAGATCTGAATATGAGCAAATACCACAGCAACAAACATCATCTTGAAAACTGCTACCCTCTTTTGTTGATATAATGTGAATATTGGGTTGAGATGAGTTTTTCAAAGCCACATACATACGTTTATGAGTTGATTCAGGACCCAAGAAAAGGACTGAATCCCTGTAGCTCTGGGTCATGATGAGGACCTGTTTTTGTTTTCCTGCAAAGTATGTTCAATACCTCTCTTGCAGTCATGGAGGTTACCAATATGAGATAAACTATGCTCTCTTAGTTCTCCTTTACCCCAAAGATTTTACAGTTCTTTTACATAATTACTTAGTGGTCTATCACAACCTATTTTCAGTAACTTCTCTTGAAGGTATTGATTAGTTGTAAGAGAAAGAGTGTGAGGAAGAGACACTGGACACACAGAAAGTAGTTCCACTGACCAGAGTTCAATGGAGATGAAGAAAATTGCAAATGTTTTTCCTTATTGATATCACTCACATTTTGGAGTAGTGATAATTCTTTTTTTTTTAATTTTTGTGGAGGGCTGTCCTGTTCATCATATGATATTGTTATAAATGCATTTGTATTAGAAGTATTAGTAGCCTTCCTCTTCTTGCTAAGTGTGTGCTGATCAAAAGTGTCTCCAAACACTTTCAAAAGCTCCCTGGGGTAGGGATTAACCCAACTGAGAGTCACTGGTTTAATTGTTAGATCTTATTTACTAATCATTATTTATTTAATAATCAAATAATAAAATCCAGGGAACGTGTGAGCTCTCTTAAGTCCTTCTGGAATGCTGATTGGCCATACCTCTGAGTAAACTTGTTTCTTTTTTCTTTTTTTATATACAGTCCCTTTCAAAGAGCATCACCAACAATGCAGTTGTATCCCATATTTTCATTTTGGGCAGCAATGAAATTGTCTTCCTCATCTCGATGTAGTAAATGCACTCAATCCTAGATTATCTGTCAATGCCACTTAAAATGTAATTAACATATGGTTAATACTTTAGTGCCAGTGCAAGAAGACAGGCAAACCCCTTTTCAAGCACGTGTCTCTGGGAAAGGTGCTGGGGCACCAAAGGGGTAGAATATATTGTCTTTTAACTCTTCTGTCACATTTTCACCTGGCTCTTGACACATCATCACATAAATTATGGGGTCATAAATAGACCCTTTTGTTTGCTTAGAACATACTTTGCCAGTAAATAAGTTCCTTTCAGTGAGTAACTCAAACTTGAAATAAATTTGTCTAGGAAAAGACTAATTTTTCCATACAGCGATGTGAGCATAGTGTGTATTTAGGTTACATGTATTGAACTGAATTGGATTCCACATTCCCCACTGTCTGGATTACATTTAAAGGCTTACTGTTAAGTTGCCCTTGAACATTATTCATGGAAACATTCAGTATACAAAATCCTGAACCATCTGCTGGCATGGGAGTTACAAGGGCAACACATATTATCTTGGAAAGTGACTGAGGTGCAGTGAGAGATGGTTATTTCCAACCCCACAACTGGGATGCTCAACCTCAACCTTATGTGAATTCCTCCATGACCTCTATTTGTCATCTACTTTGGAATCACAATCCAAGGGCCCGATAAAGGCAAAGAAGTCTAGATCTTCTGTGTCTGGAAGGTCCTTGATCAATATTATTCAATTACTTTCCCATTGGCAGAATTCTCAGGTGAGCAAAGTTAAAGACAGCCTACGGAATGAAAACATTTTCCAATGCCGCAGAACATGGCTGATAAAGCCATTTCATTAAGACAACATAGTCCTAAAGCATCAATATCCCAGTGACAACACAGAGATGTAATAGTCTAGCAAAGGTACTTCAGAAATAGCAAGACTCACCTGGAGCCTATGAGAATGTGAACAGCAGATGGTCCTGGAAGGTGCTCATGAGGCACACCAAAGTTGATATCCAAACGAGGTTCATGATAGCTTTTTAATTAACAAATTAATTAATTTTACAACCCTACTACTGTTTCCCCTCTTTCCTCTCCTCCCAGTCCCTCCTCCCATGTCCCCTTTGCCCCTGCCTGCATCCACTCCTCCTCTGTTTCTATTCAGAGGAGGACAGTCCTCCCATGGATAGCAATCAAACATGGCATATCAATTTGAAGGTTGGACAAGGCAGCCCAGCCTGAGGAGTAGGGACCCAAAAGCTGGAAAAAGCATCAGAGACATCCCCCACTCTCACTGTTAGGAGTCCCACAAGAAGACCAAGCTATACAGCTGTAACATATATGCAGAAGGCCTAGGTCAGTCCCATGTAGGCTCCCTGATTGTAGTTTCAGTCTCTGTGAGCCCCTATGAGCCCAGGTGAGTTGATTCTGTGGGTTTTCTTGTGGTGCCCTTAACTCCTTTGACTCCAACAAGCCTTCCTCCCCATCTTCTGCAGGATTCCCTGAGTTCTTCCCTAATGTTTGGCTGTAGTTGTGGCTGAATGGTTAAGGCAATGGAGTAGCTGAGATCTTGAAATGATGCAGGGATGAATACCTAGGACAATTATCTAGAGTTTCACCAAACAGTATTGGGCCCCTTTACCCCGAGCCCTGTTGTGTTCCTGGATCCTGTTGGGATACTCAAGGTTATCTGGCTATTAACCGGGTAGATGTTCTATTTTAGCCTCTTTCCCCTCCACCACCAATGTTCTGAATTATTCAAATCACCAGCACAGGGCTCAGCAGAGGGTCTAATTACTGCCCCGCTTGCTGCTTGCTGAGGATCTTCCAGAGCCATGGAACGATTTTAAAACAGCTTAGTGGGGGAAAGACAGCATCTCTGTCAAGCTGCATCGGAGTCTCAGTCTCATTAGGGAAAGTCAGATATTGTAGCTGTGGAAAGGGCATCTGCAGGATGAGGCCATCTTCTGATTTGATACCACAGGCAGGTATCCAGGATTCGTGAGGGAGCAGTCCTTGGACCAATCCAGTTCTTTTGTATGATTGTCTTAGTCATAGCCACTTTTTCCTAAAAAGTTTGAAAGCATTCATGTCTTCCTTTGAATATTCATGTTCAAACAGTCTTTGTGCATGGATTCTAAGACATAATAGAAGGATGCTACAGAAAGAGCAAGATGCCCAGACATAATAAGGATTGCTCATACTTAAGTCAAACATCATTATTGGCCAAGCTCTCTCTTAAGCATTCCATGTGAGTTAATCCTTCTAATGGGGTCAGATGCTGATAATATTTTCATTATAGAAATGTATTAATCAGAGATTTGGATGACATGTCCAAATCTATTCAACTAAAGCTGAATCAGAGTTTGAAGCCAGCATTTGGGTTTATCACATGTGTTCTTAATCAGCACTCCATATCTCCTATCCAAAACCACAATGGAGAGTTCAGCATGGACAAAAAAAAAACTATGAAAAGGACATGCAGTGGGGAATATGTATCTCTTTTAAAATATCCATCCATCCATCCATCTACCCATCCATCCATCCATCCATCTTTCCAATTCATAGGTGGTGAATGCAGAGGATGTACTAGCACTTAAGATAGAAAGGGTTCTAAGAGACTTTATCTACATATTGTCCCTCCTCCCTGATCCACACTAGGTTTTCCTCAGTAAACAGAAGACAATGTGAATTACAAAGAGCAAGATCACCCGATATGCAGAGAGGGCAAAGGAAAACAGAATTTCTGTCCACGAAGCGAACAGTGTTTGATAGAGAGATTCCCCTAGGCTTCCCCTGGAACCGAGCCACTTTCCCACTCATTATGTCCTTGGGCTGTGCATAATAAGTACTAGAGCTTTGGAATATACCTTATGAGAATTCCCTGGAAGCCTTGGCTTTCTCTTGAATTTTATTCCAGGAGAGAAGCCAGAACCCTTCTCTTAAGCCATTATGCGCACATTGACCTAGAGAGAAAGGTATGCCTCAATCTAGGCCTGACACACTTAAGTCACTGCCATAGGGACACACTGGAGCTGCTCACTTCCCACCTCTGTAAAACGCAACAAACCACGTTCACCTGCAACGTAATGGAAAACCCCACTGGCAGTTATGTGCAATGGGGCTGATCATAAACATGATTTATGAAGTTAGTTCATTTACTGCCTCGGATGCTAGCCCCAGCTGCCAAGAGTTTGACTGACAATTTCTGTTTATTTATTTCTCACTATATAATATCTGACTTCACATTATAAATTCTTCTGATTGGAATTTCATGGCACCTGCTCTGGTATTTATTGATGGCATGTTCATCGGGGACTCTGCCCCTTTGGAGTATGTGCTGGGCTCTAAGCCCTGAGTTGTGTCTGTAATGGTGAGGTTCAGGCCCTGACATCCCCATTGTGAGGGAACTTGGCTATTATCTCTCATGCCTCATGGTGGACATCTCTGTTTTATAAATATGGTGACTTGTGATTGACACTTTCTGTGATTTAACTAGTAAAAAATAACTGAATTTGACCTCCAGAAACCCTACAAAAAAAAAAAAAAGCCAGTTATGGTGGCACTTGCTCCTATTCCAGTGCTGGGGAAGCAGAGATAGGCACAGCTCTGGAGGTCGGCCAGAACACATAGCCTAAAGTACTTCCTAGCCCCCAGAGACAACCTCTCTCACAGAGCCAAAAGCAAGGTGGAACGCTCCTGAATTATGCCATTCGAAGTTGGTCTCTATTCTACTCTGGCATTTGTACTCACTTGTACACACAAGCAAACACTTGGGTCCCCTCACACAAGCATACACATGTATACACACACATGCACACAAGAAACATTGAAAAACAAGAACAAAAAATTTAAAATAAATTACTGTTTGGGTCCTGGAAACTGGTCTGAAAATGTTATGGGATGACATGCAGTTCCAACTGGATCACAACCACCTTGCCTCCCTCCTTCTTCTTTTTCAGTCTTTCCCCAATCACTAGTCTTCTTCCCTGAAGTAGGGCTTAAGCGCACACAGGGAGAAGAGAGTTGACTCGGTCATCTCC